AGGGAAGTATCAAAAAAGTTTCAAGAACACTCAGCCCATCACTACAGGGTAAAACATCTCTAGCAGTCAAACCAGTCAACAATGTTAAAGCATGCACATGCCACATTTTTCAAAAGCAGTCAAGACCAACTAGAAAACAAAGCCAAGACTTGACCCTAGAGATGACAGCACAACAACATTTTAGTGAGGCTGACTGCAGACATGACTTACTACTTGTGTAGAGTATTTTTGCAAGAGTCATTTCCAGTGTTGCCCCACGACTTCCCTCACCAAGCATATGCAACTGCAGACAGAAAAGAAAGCGAAAAGGGATGAGGATTAGTGTGCTGCAAGAGTGTCTACAAAGAACACAAAAAAGGGTAAAACATAAAGCAAACAACTCAAAATGGCTTTTTCTTCCCCTCTCTGTTCTGTTATTGCATAGAACCAAGCTGAGAAAAAGTTAATTTCACAGTCAACCACTAACACAGTAGGTCAAGAGCTGGTCTATTGCTCTGATGTAGCAACAAATGCTTCTGTTAATGAAAAGTAACATTCAGCACAACAGGCATTGGTTACAGTTCAACTTTCCTAAGTGCCCATGCAGTAACAAAGTGACACAACTTATGACACAATAGGCACTTAAAACTAAACCAATCAATTCAAACAAGGCTCCTTGCTGATTAAGCCAAATCTTGTAACCTACCTCATCCACCACAACAAGACCAAGGTCACCGATTCGATCTGTTTCAATCAAGGAATTCACTAGCATATGCCCTTTTTCTATTGTAGCAATATAAAGGGACTTTTTACATCTTCTCTTGATGGGTGGAAATCGTCCTTTACTTCCCGCGTATTCTTCAACCAGGAAACCTAATTCTATCCCAAAGCTTGATAAACCCCAAACCTATTAAAAAACAAAACAAAACAAAAACAACAATGTCAGTTAGAAACCAAACTCACACTCAGTTTGAAATTTAGACCTGTTTCAAGAATTCAGTGTGCATTTAACCTACCCACATCCAAATTAACTGTTTAAGGAAATGAAAATATTAGCTATAAGAACTTTCCCTTGAAAATTGAAAACTTAAACTGTCTGCAAATTTGATCAAGCTTGAGTTAAAACCATTCTCTAACTTGGTTTCTTTAGATCTGTTTTTATTACAAAGTGATTTCTCTGGCAGGGTAGACAGCAGAAAACACTGATAGAAGACCAAAAAAAAAAATAAAAATCAGGCAACACAGCAGCACACTGTTACTTAAAGAATCAGCACATTTCTTATCGTATCACTCAGCATCTGGAAGTGATAACCACAATCTGTCTTATCAGAAAATAACTGTCTCAGAGCAGCACTTAAAAGAGAAGCCAGTCACTTCTGTAGAGGTGTTCACGCACAACACATTTTCCAACCATTATTATTAAACTATTATTAAAGTCAGCCACGTTAACAAGGCGCATTGCACAAGACCAATAATACCAAGAACACCGTTTCCAGACCTTTTCTTGGACAATGGCAACATACGGCAGGATCATCAGAACATCCTTCTGCATGCAGAGTAATTCCTGGAGAATTAAAATTTCAGCAACAAGCGTTTTTCCACCACTGGTTGGCAACGAGTATATCAAATTCTTCCTCTGCTGTAGACATTCTAACGTCAAGCAATCGTGCTGCCATTCTGAAAAATTAAAAAAGAATCATTGCCAACTGTTAAGGGGATATTGAGCCCCTACAGCTCTTTGCCTACACTCTATAAAAAACACTAATTTTGCACTTGAGAACTTCACTGAAATGTGACAAACTTTCAGAGATCCAGCCTGCAAATCCCGTATCTTCTCAAATCTCTCACAGGAAGTATTTCCATAAGCCACATCAACCTCCTCTTACCTAATGACCAAGAACCTCCTTCTGAAATGATCTAGCTACTGCCCTAACTTCCTTATCTTTACGCCTCTGGAGAGATAACATCACTTAGGCTTTTCCCACGCAGCGGGTGGTATTAAACCATCTTACTGGCACACCTGAAAATATTGTAACTTAAATATCTGTGCCAGGAACAGACAGAAAGGCAGGCCTAAAGAAATAACTGTGCACCATAAAAAATGAAATCGGGGAACACTTCACTCACAGTACACGTTGATTTTGAAGAAACCATTTGTTCTATTACCATAAAGCGTTTCGATGCCCCGAAGCTGCCGGAGGAGATCTTTAACTTTACTGGGTAATCCATAAAAAGGGCCTATGTCGACAGACGATGATCCGATAGCTTTCCTAGCTACACAAATCTCTTCAGATAAGATAGCTTCTTTAAGCTGCTTGGTTTTTGAGACCTTCACAGTCTGAGCTTTGGCATTTTCAGTCAAAGCATTTTTCAGATGATCTTTAAGGCTTGTATTTTTACAGGAATCAGACTTCATACCACTAGAAAATTCTGTGCTTCTGTTCTTGTGCTCAGAGTCAGGACAAGGAGATGATGCGCTCCTGACTTTGTCTGAGGAGGAGCACTTGCTCGCGTCCACCTTTTCTGTGCCTGCAGCTGTCTGAGAGCCAGCAGAAGGCTGGCACATTTCTGCGAAATACAAGAGTTGCGATGAGGGCAGTTCATCGAAAAGAGAATCAGCCAGCTCCTCGCTGGCACCCGGTGGGTCACTCGCAGGCGTTTGGACGCCACGCTCCGTATCCCCTGCACGTGTGCCCACTATTTCTGAAGCGGAATAATTCTCCTGCTCCCTCTGGTCGGTTCCCAGCCGAAGACTCTCGGGCACGACCCCTGCAGCTGCCTCGGCATCCTGCGGGTGCGCGGGCTCCGTGGCGAGAGCTTGTGCCAGGACCGAGTCATCCTCACAGAAGCTGCCGTAGTCCCCGAACATGTCCTCCTCGCTGTCATCGCACTGCTGGGGAGAGAGAGCGGCAGGCGTTAGCTCCGCGCAGCGACATCGCGGCACAGCAGGGCCCCTGCACGCCGCCGCCCTGCCCCGTCCCCGTACCGGGCTCTGTGCCGGGGTCCCCTCGCCCCCGATGCTCGCTCTCTTGACGGCCAGCGGCGAGCAGGCGGCGCTGTGCCCCTCCGGGGGCCGGCTCCGTTTGCGAGCGGCGCCGAGGCGGCTCCTCCTCCGCACGGCGAGCGGCGGCTCGGCCATCGGCGGGGCCCGGCCGGCAGCCCCGCGAGCAGCGCCGCGCAGCGCACACCGCGCCCATCTGCCGCCGCTTCCGGGGGCGCGGCCAGGGAAATACGACCACGTGATGCGACAGCGACCAATCGCCTCCCCCAGCCGGGGCAGGCCGCGCTTCCATTGGCCAGAGCGATTCGGGCGGGAGCCGCGGCGGGCAGGAAGTGACGTAGCGGCGGCGGTTGTGGGACACAAGATGGCGGCGCTGGGGGTGGCGGCCGCTGCGGCGCGGCGGAGCTGGGCGCAGGGTGAGGGGAGGGGGGGAGGGCCCGGGGGGCGCCGCGGGGAGCCCGGCCGCGGGGAGCCCGGCCCCGGCCCCGGCCCCGGCCCCGGCCCCGCTCACCGCCTCGTCTCTGTCCCGCAGCACCGCGGGGGGCAGCGCCCCGCCGCCTCCTGCAGCAGCAGCCGCTGCCCGGCACCGAGCAGGTGAGGGCCCTGCGCAGGGGCGCCCCACGTCTTAATATAATCGATCATCTTAATGATAATTGTAACTGATTGGGTGCGGTGACAGCTGAAATAGGTCGTGCAGCTGTGTGGAATGTGGCTTTTTAAATTGTTAGGTACCGCTCGGTGCATTTGACAACTATAGGTAAAGGCAGCTGCGTGCATAGCAATGCTTGAGAAGCGTCACTTATGCTGAACGTCCTCGCTGTTGTTAAGGCGCTTTCTGCTTTTCTGTACGGCATAAATTAAAATAAGTGCAAACTGATCTACTTGCAACATTGCAGCCTCTTAATAATTGTCTATTTACAGCCCGTAGAGATGGAGAATCCCTATAAAGAACCTCCTAAGAAGTGCGTCTTATGTGGGATAAAGGTGGACTACAAGAATGTTCAGGTGAGTGCTTTGAGAATGTGTGCTTAGATAACAAGGGTAACTGCCTTGTGCTCAAAGGGTGGGAGGCAGCAGCCCAAGGTTAGCTGGGTGAGGAAGTTCACAGGAAAGGATGAAGTAGTGCAATGGAACTTCTTCAGCCCTCTGGGCCTGTATGTACATATATGGGACGTGGTGTCCTTGAAAAGGAGCGCGTTGTTCTACAAATTCTGCCTCGCTGTGGCATGCAGAATGCTATGGACGTCCAAGCTGTCCTTGTTCCCCTGTCTGGGAAAACTAAGCTCTGTAAGAAATAGTCCCAAATATTAAAAATGTAATGCAAGGAATCAAATATGCTGAAGCTTCTCTGAACTACAAATAACACAAACTGATATTCCTCTTTTTTAATAGCTTCTGTCCCAGTTTGTATCTCCATACACTGGCCGCATTTATGGCAGGCATATAACAGGTAGGTGAAATTAAATCCTATTTACTCTCTCATGTTAAGGTCTTTTAGAGCTGAGGTCAGATTTTATTAGATCTGGTTACACAAGTCACTACTACTGATAATATGCATTTTTGAAGCCTTTATCTTCATGATCAGACTTGAAATTAAATTGTTAACTAATTCTTTTCTGTATTTTAGCAGTGTGTATAGACACACATGAGTTTTTATAGGAAGACTGACAAAACTAGAAGGATTTGCAACTAAATGATTTATCCCCTTTACTTATTACTGAGTTACTGTTCAACTCAGGAGCCTAAAAATGTTTTTTCTTTAGGCTTGTGTAACAAGAAGCAGAAGGAAATTTCAAAAACCATTAAAAGAGCTCAGGTACTTGGTAAGTATCGTTATGCTTTCTTGGGTGTTTGGTAAGTCAAGCTTACCATTGACTTAAGAAAAAACCCACTCATCTGATTTTCTTACAGGGTTTATGCCAGTTATGTTTAAGAACACAGCATTTCTTACAGACCCCAAAATTTGTAATATTAAGTATTGAGAGTTATATACTGTAAAGAAATAAACAATAAAACTAAATTACTGCTTATGTAATTCTTTATTGGGAATGTCACCGGTTGCTGTGCTGCATCGCTGACCGAGGGTGGTCAGCTGCAGTGTAAAGTCTCTGAACGTGTTGAAAGGAATAAGGAATGCCCGGAGGGGTAGCACAAATCCCGCTGTATGGACCACTGCAGTTATCAAAAGTCTTGCTGAAGCTTTTTCCTTTTTCCTTCCGTCAATAGGAAGGGGAAAACAGAATGCTGGAGAGCTAATGGTAGGGGAAGATATTAAGACTTTGGCTACATGTGTAAACGGCTGTTTGTAAGGATGTTGCCTTGGATCTGATGTTCTTGGCATCGGCTTCTGCTGAGGTGAGGCTCACTGAGGGGGTGGCCTTGGTTCTTCTGCAGCACCTTGAGGTTGTATCGCTGAGGCAGTGCGTGACGTGACTTGGCTGCCCACGCCCTGCTAGTGTAGTCCTAAAACCCTGAGAGAGAGAAAATCCAGGCTGAACTCTGGAAGGCCAAACGAGGGAATGTGATTTGGACTCCGTTCAACTTACGCCAAACAGAATTAATGCATTAAAATACATCTTTGTACTTGACAAAGATTCAGTAAGCTATTTCCATCCCTGCAGTGCTGTAGATTGATATGTTACTTTAATATGCTGGCAGTAGCTTTTTGTGCAAATACGTTTGGGAAGCTGTTAAGCCATCAGAAAGTGGGAGAGTGTGGGTATTCGTTCGTATCTTTCAGTTTCTCCAGCACCTCCTCATCTGTTTCAGTGCTACTCAGAGTAAGTTTCTTTTCCTGGTCGCTGTCCTCTTGATCTTGAAGTAACTTCTGGTGAAGCTGCAGTGATCTGGATTTCTTAAAAGACTTTGGTCCTGCGGTGGTCCCTTTGACTTTGCGCTTGGTTAATTGTCGTGTTTCATGTTCAGGAAAGTCCTTTTCCTCCACCATGAGAGTCAGTTTGTCCGTGATATTAATTTTATGGTCTGTCTTACAGCAATTCTTGGATATCCTCCTTCCTTTGAAGGAAACAATACATGTCTGAAGCCCAGAATTGGGGAAATATGTTTGCAGGGCCTGACAAAGCAAAACATTTTCCTTGGGCTCTTCTGGGTGATCTTTTTTCTCCCCTGAAAAAAACAAAGGTAGAGTTGAAGACCTCTCAAACTTGAACCAATTTTGTTCTGGTGGCTTCAAGCCTGAGTGTTCTCTGCTGATGCCAATGAAATTCAACTTGGCAGTCTTACGAATATTAGCACTGGATATAACTTACCTGAATTTTTCTGTTGCTTTTTTTTCTTTATTTCTTCTTTCAATTGGCTCACCTCTGCTAGGAGTTTCTCTACAGATCGTTCGCTGACTTCTACTGTAGAGCATATATTCTGCAAGGAGAATTGCATTTTGAGATTAACTGTGTGCCCATAAATTGAATTGAGTGTTGTAGCAAACCCCTTAAAAGCTACTGTTGCTCATGTTAGACACAGAGCATTGAAAAGCTGAAATGAGAAGCTTGAGGCTGTTTTGCAGATAAGAACTGAAACCTTGTTTAGCAGATGCCATGTGTTTTACTTGCTATGGAACTTTTGGGTAAAGGGGAGCAAAGCACAGACGACGCTCTAGGAACAGGCATATTTTGAGGAATTTTTAGTGTCCCTAATGTTTTATTGATTACGTTGATTGAATAAAAACTTGTCTCTGAGAAGATAATGTACAGCCAAGAACTTGACGATCTTTTGTTTGATGAATTAGCTTTGTTTGACTTATTGCAGGGTGCTACCCCCCTTGCTTTATTTTGTAGTGGTAGTGAAAATCCCTGTACCAGCAGATACACTGGACTGACCTTCAGCTCCTCCTGCAAGGTGGCATACATCTCATTTATCTTATGAACCTCTTGTAAGGATCCATCTTCATAAAAGAAGTCTGACCTGCAGACAAAGAACAAATTGTATAATTCAAAACTAATGATTGAAATGGGTACTGGTGTTCACTGTCAAGGAGCTTCAATCCAGAAAGATGCGTTAAGTCTTCATTCATTAGTTTGATTTAGAATTAGCAGTTCCTAAGGTGGACTTGTTAAAGGCTTTACTCACAAGATGCCAAGTAACTGAATATGGCGCCGACTACTGGTGAATCCATAAAACTAGGAGGCTCAAGAAGAAACCTGGAGCTTTAGCTTGAGTTAAAAGTTAGGTATGAACTACTCTTTCCAGGCTAAACGTCTGGATGGGCTCTTCTGTTAACAGGATTGTTACATCCTAGTGACAGAGCATGTGAAGTGATAAGCATCATAAGTATCAGTTCCGGTTACCTTACATGGGTTAGCTCAGCACTCGGTGCCAAGTTTGAGGCTGTTCTCTCTGCAGAGCACGTGGCTCAACTAATTCCCGAGATGCTTGTCAAGGCTGGTAATTGCAGGGCATGAAGTGAGCAGGGTGCATCAGTAGGGGCACTTGAGAATAACTAACGCAAGCGGTTATCCCAGCCCTGCTGGAAAGCGACCGATACGGGTACGTAAGCTGGGTGCTGTACCTGTGTTGTCTCACTGCTCTCACGAAGCCAGAAGACACGCAGGAACCAGACACCGTTCTGTAACCTTGCTGCTCTGCCATGCCCAAGTTGGTAACCACCAAGGGGACTTTCTGAAAAAGACTTAAAAAGCATAAGTATGAAAAAATGCTTCAATGCCTTTTGAGTAGGTGAATGTCCCCACACAGTAAGCATCGCAGCCGGAGGCATGCAGCAGTAACTGTTGCTGAAGGAGTCGTGTCACAGATCACTGAGACCAAACAAACCCAACTGCAGGACAGGAGACTTAATGTGAGTTGTGTCGTAATGCAGTGCTTCGTTAAATGTAGCGTGTTGGCAGTGAGTGGCAACACCTCTAAAGCTGATTAAAAGCTACCAACAGCTTGGAATAGTTCAATGAGCAGTTTCATACAGCTTCACTTACACATAAAGATGAAAACTAACCAGTTACCTGTTTGGTAAAATAACAATTTCACCAATAGCTGTTACTGTGTAAATGAGCTGGCAATCCAGTACTGGCACTGCACATGATTATAACTGCAAGTCTTTGGATTCCTGAATCATTTTGGTTGGGAAAGACTGCTAAGATCAGGTTCAGTCATTAATCTAGTACTGCCAAGTCTACTACTAAACCATGACCCTAAGCACTGTATGGATCTTTTAAATACTTCCGAGGATGGTGAGTCAAGCACTTGCCTTGGCAGCTTGTTTCAATGCTTCACAACACTTTCAGTCAAAGTTTTTCCTGTTTTTCTGCCTTTTAACCCAAACCTCCTCTGGTACGCGTTGAGGCAATTTCCTCTTGTCCTATTGCTTGCTAATCAGTAAGTTCTTGAACAGAACTTGAGGGTGAGGCTTTAGCTGTGCCTGTAAGGGCTTTACCAGTATAAAAAATATTTGACTTTAATGCTTTCAAGAGTAAAAAAAACCCTATTATTAATAGTAATCCAGTTGCAACTAAAAAAATGATCAAATAAAAAAGGTCAAATCATAGTGTATATAATATTTAACAGCTTTGTCATAACTAGAGAACAAACTGATTACCCTTCTTGTGGCCGGTGTAAGGCGTGTTCCAGTCTGTACGTTGAACAACTTTCTGTCATCACGCTAGAAGTTAGCAGAAGGAACACAAGGCCCTGGTTCGATAGGTGGGACTGTAAGTTCTTATGCAGAAGTCTTTCTCGGAATGTCATCACCTGGTCTGTGTTGCGTCTGAATTTGTACCATCCTATTACGTTCTGCAGACAGAAGAGAACATCAGTACAGTTCTTTAATGTCCTTGAGTGCCATAACAAAGCAAATCGGAGGGTCCAGTAAGATTCATGAGTGTTAACCCTTCTGTACACATAAGGAGATACTTCCAATTCTTAAAGCATCCAAGGCTATTTTCTAGGCATGACAGTTCCTATCCTTGTGAAATCTCCTGAATTGGCTCGTTTACTGAGGTTTGGCTCAATCCTGTAAGTCTGCAAACTTGGTTTGACTATTTAGCTGTTTGCTGCTTTCCAGCTTCTACTTTTTCCTCTTGTAAAACGTTCTACAGAGAAAACAGTACATGACTTTGTTCACGTGGTGCTTAACCAGTGGAGTGAGCTGACCTCAATTGATCTCAACCTAGAAATTAGTGGAATTCCTTTGGAAGGTTTAAAGAATTCACTTGAGAAATTAATAAGAAAAAATCAAGTTGAGATAATACAGAGAGGCAAACTTTAGTCAAAGATATCCTGAATGGGTAGTATTTAGGGGGATAAATAATGCAGGGGCCTTGACAAGCAGTATGAGGGATTAGGTACAAGATGGAATAGTTTAATGCCGCCGATCAGAACAAGCCTCAAAATCTGAGGTGGCCCTGTGGTAGGTGTTAGATTTGAAAATAAAATACCTTCTTACAGCCAGATAGTATTTTCTTCAGGGCTGGTTTGTTCAGTTCTCCTGCAGAATTATAAAAGCTAGAAGAAAATTATGACAATTAGGACAAAACACTACTGTAGGAAGTAATTATTTCCAAGTGATTTGGCAGTCGTCTTGCCCTAGGTGTACTGGAGGGAAAAAAGCCATCAAGGTTGTGCTGACACAGCCTCTGTGGTAGGCCTGCACTTAGTTTCGTTGCTGTTAGCTCAGATAGCTGTTGAGGTGGTACAGCACGGATGCTCTTCTGGCATCAGTGCTACTGGGACACAAAGGTAACCTCTATACCTGAGTTACAACTACAAAAAATGCCTTCCATCTGATACGAAGTGCCTCTCTAGCAGTATCTTGGTAAGTTCTTAATTTTTCTCTTCTTAGAGGCTGAGGGGTCAGGGTGTGTTCTTTTCTAAAAGCAATCATTGCTTTTTGTGCAGCAATTTGACTTCGTTCTGTAGCTTATAGTTCTGCATCGCTCACTAGAATGCAGTGTACCATACCTGTATTTTACCTAGATGCACACACAAAGCAAGCTCGTAGATCCAATACAGGGTTAACATAAGGCATTGCGCTTCTGTAATTCCACAGCCCCAACCCTGCATTGTTACAGCTCCGTGATTTCCTCTGTCATGTAATACAAGTTCAACTTTTTGCAGAGCTAAATTTAGGGTTAATATAAACTGTTTCCATATCTTTTTACTTAAAATTCTCACCTGAACAACTGGTAGCATGGTATATGCTTCTGTATATCTGAAATGAGAAGGCAATATTACTTTGGGTTTGTCAGCTCAAGGTGTGCATTCTTATGTATGCTGTCATGTGAATTGTGGAAAGGAACAAGGAAGAGCTCTTCCAATTATAATTTCCAATTATCTACTTAATCTCAAGTTACCTTAATCTTAAGAAAGGAAATAAGTGTAACAAAGTTTCTTCAAATGGGAAGGGGGAACCACTTACGTAAGTTATGTATTTTGATACATTTTGGTTTTGTCCAGTGCAAAATCACATTTGCTATTTTGTTTTTCCCTCCCTTCCCTGTTGAGTACAGGAATAGAATGCAATATGAAACAGTTCCCTTAAGTTACTTTGCAACAAAGCACAGATATCGGGAAAATCACCTACCCTCTTTTTTTTCTGGTAGTCAATTTCCCAGTTCTGATCATATACCCTTTTATGTAGGCCTTGAAAATGAAGCTGGAAAAAGGGTAACTGGGAAATTGACTACCAGAAAAAAAAAAAAAAAGAGGGTAGGTGATGGCATTTGAAAAACCTTTACACAAATTCCACAATATTCATTTTCACGAGTTAGCAAAATAAATTTAGAAAAATAAATAAAACTCTACAAAATATGAAGCAACTAACTGTGTGAAAATCTGTGTTACATGATCAGGGGCACCACAAAATAAAAAAAAATCCCTGTACTTTTTGTTCAGCAGTGAAACTGCGCAAAGTGTCGCACCTTCCTTAATTGTGTCCCTGGGTAAAACTGGGAAATGAGGCATGAATTCTCTCTACTTTCAGTAAACTTGGAAAGAAAACGTGCTGTATTAGATGGTTATTTTTCTTGATCTATTGACAGTATTTTAAAAGAAGCAGGTTAAATTTGTGTATGCATACGTTGCTTGAAGGGCTACTGTAATACATGCATCCACTCCCACTGCCACAACCATTTTAAGGAAAAATACTATTTCATCTGCTTAATGAAATGTATAATTTGCATCATACACATGAAATATTTTTTAAGCTGCAAATTTTGAAGTGTGAACTCTAATGCATTAGTACCTCTCGCTGAAATATGCCAAGTTTCTGCCAGGCAACTGTTGTTGAGCAGGGGTGAAGTGCCATAGCTAAGACAAAGAGGAAGTCAAAGCCCTGCCTTATCGGTAATGTGAGAAGATGTTTGGCAAAGAACAACTATTCCAGGAGCTAAGAACTTGTATTTCTGTTTAAGATTTAAACTTTTTTAGATCAATTATTTTCAGCAATTGTAGTGTTGTAAAAGGAGCCTGGTACGTGTATTTGGTGTTGTGGCCCCTGCCCATGTGGCCATGCGTGCCCTGAGAGCACGGCGCTGTTAGGGGTGGGGTTGGGGTGCACTGACCGATGGTATAAACCACTTCCACATCGTCCATCTGCGAGTCCGTGATGCTGTTCTTGGCCTCGCCTTTCACATCTCCCAGGAGAAATCCTTCCTTTTGAGGGGAAGAAAGGTAAGTTCGCGTTAGCAGGGCTGCTCTGGTAGTAAAACACACGTGTTGGGTGGGGAAAAAAAAAGCTGATGTCCGTTTATTTAAAACGAAGCAGGTTCTCGTTCATTTGTAAAGAGATCAGTAGTAAGGGACAGGAGTTAAGGTGCACTCGAGCGTTTTCCCTCCCGTGTGTTTTTATTCAAAGCCGAAGGCGTGGGGTCGGGCATGTGCTGGCCCCGCAACTTTTCCCAGCCGCTGCCGGCACAGAAGGGCTGTGCTGGGGCTGCTCCCTGCCCCGGGCCGCCTCCCGGCGCCCTCCCCCACGGCGATCCCCCCATTCCCGGCCTCCCGGCGCCCGGTCCCGGCCGCGCTGCCTGAGGCGGCCCGGGGCAGGCGTCGCTGCGCTGCGCCATGGCCGCCCGCGGCCCTCCCCTCCTCTTCCCTCCCTTCCCGTCCCGTTTGGTCCCCGCGGCACGCACCGTGTCCGAGGCGGTGCTGAGGTGCTGGAAGGCCAGCGCGCCGAAGACGAAGCCCGAGAGCAGGGCCGAGGTGCTCTCGCCCTCCATGCCCCACAATGGCGGCACCGCCGCGCCGCACGGAGCCCCCAGCGGCCGGCGGCGGCAGGGCAGGGCCGGGCAGGGCCGGGCAGGGCCGGGCAGGGCCGGGAGCTCCCCCCGCGTGCTCTTAGCGATGGGATCGGGGAGCCGGCGTCAAGGCCACCGCGGATTCTGCGCCTCGGGAAAGGCGGTGTTTGGTTTCACTGCTCATCACGACGGTAGGTGAGCACGCCATAAACATTTGCTTAGTCTTAGACATTCGTTTCCTGGGTTTTTAAATAAGATGAGTGCACTTGCAGTCTCTCGAGGGCCTTTTCCATCAATTTGGGATGTTATCCGTGGATTTTTGTGTTTACCATGCATAGGAGGTTAACGCTTTCAGTACAATTTCTTGTCCCTTTAACTTGGCAGCAGGATTTAGAAGAATGGCTACCTCTGGCACGCTTAATGATTGAACTATACATTATATATCTGTAAACGGTTTGAGTATTTAAAGTATCTAAAAGAAGAAAATTGTTGAATTTCTTACTTGTTCTCACAGTAGACAGATGGACAGGCTAAGACTTTTTTTCCCCCCCTCACCACCTACATAAACGAGCAGAGGGATGACAAAGTGTCCAGGTGATGCAGAATGACTGAGATTAACAGGAAGCAACTATTATATTAGGCATTTTGTGCAACAGACACCGCAGGGCACTCAATGAGGGGGTAACAAATACAACTGAAGTGATGTATTGCAACAAACAGCCCTCTGATGGATCATGTTGCCGTGGTGGTGGCAACAAGAATGGAGGGAAGTGACCGGTTACATGGCTGTTTGTGGAGAAAAGGGTGAAAGTAGACATGAATGCTGGCGTCTTCCAGGAACTGTACAGCGGTTCCCTTCCCTGCACTGAGATTTTCAGTTCATGCTACACAAGGAGAGTGAGGGCATTTAATGCATTTAATCAGTGTGATGAACGTGGGGTACTGACACATTGTTCTGCTGTTATTAGCACTGGTGGTGTGCAAACTGTGCAAGATCTATTCTGATGGCATGCGAGATGCATGCTGAGAGTCGTGCAATGCCCGTCTGACAGGTATCTGTGCACTGCCGAGGCAAACAAATGCAGTCAGAACATGAGGAGGGCTCCTTGCTCCAGCGATACCAAGATGCAGCCCTGCCTAAGCTGCAGGGTAGGATGAATAAGGTTCTCTAATGGCTGAATTTGCCTTTGGTGGAAACAATTATGCTTGTGTGGTCAGACCTAAATGTGTTACAATAATCTTAACAATTCATACCATGCTTAAACCTATTTCTTTATTTACTGTTGTCATAATTGTTCTGTTGATAGGCAGAGATAAAGCATTGTGATATATGGAGTAATAATTTGTGTCAAGAAGATGGTTGATATTAATAAAGAAGGGGGAGATGTGGGAATGTGGCCATGGGGGTCAACAAGCCCCATGGTTGGTGCTAACATCAGACTCTTAACGATGAGGCCATCAGGAATGTAAAGAGTTTAGAGCGAACAGAGAAGGGCGATTCAGGAGATGCCGTGCTGGCTTGGGTTGCTTGTTCTCCAGCCGTTAAGGCATGGAAGTTGCTGGGTGTTTGCTGTTGCTGGGCAAAGTTGTTTGACCAATGAAAAGTTGTTTTGAAAAGGGCTGCTGTGGGGAGAAGGGTATAAGAGGGGAACCTGTCCTCAAGAGAAAAAGGCAGCACGATATAATGAAGTTATGTCATCAGTAAAGAAGTAGAAAAAAGGAATGATAGGGACAGGCTAGCAGAACAGGGACCAGGACAGGAACAGGCACATTGATTGCCTCATGAAGATGGGTTCAGCCAAACTCAGCAAACCACTCGAAGCTCCTACAGAAAGGCGCTGGAAAGAAGCTCAAGCTGAGAGAAGCACACAGCTGCCCCTCGCTGGTCAGCAGTTGCGCATTATGGGGAATCATACGCCCTTAGAAACAAAGGCTGTCCTGGTAACCTTACAGCTTATTCTCCTTATGAACAATCAGACAGTTTATGATCCTGACACATGGGACCAAACTGAGGTCACGGTGTGGGACTCTGCAACTAAAAATGACAAGGTTGCAGTGGGATTGCTCGGCACCTGGTGAGCAGTCTCTGAGGCCTTAAAGAGCCCTGTGGAGCCACAGTCAGACACGTGTGGTTTGCCAGACAGTGAGGGAGCTGCGGATTGTTTGTTAAACACTTGCCTTTTAAAACTTTGCCATGTTTATGTTTCAGTTGATACCTTTTCTGATTGTACATATGTATAGGCGTACTCAGGTCTAGAATGTAAAAGCAATGGTCAGTATATTTAGAAAGCGGTTTGCTGAGTTTGGCCGAATCCATCTTTATGAGGCGATCAATGTCCCTGGTCCCGTCCTGGTCCCTGTTCTGCTAGCCTGTCCCTATCGTTCCTGTTTTCTACTTTATTGATGACATAACTTCATTATATCGTGTTGCCTTTTCATCTGGAGGACAGGCTGGAGAACAAGCAACCCAAGACCAGGCATGGTGTCTCCTGAATCACCCTTCTTTGTTCCCTCTAAACTCTTTACATTCCTGATGACCTCATCATTAAGAGTCTGATGTTATCACCAACCATGGGGCTTGCTGAGCCCCATGGCCACACTCCCATGTCTCCCCCTTCTTTATTAACATCAACCATCTTCTTGACACGAATTATTACTCCATATATCACAAAAGGAAGATTGACTGTCAGACTGACCACATTTGGTGGTCTTGGGGCCTACTGCTATTTGCTTTAGGTAGAAACATCTTCTTGTTAACCTATAGGAATGTATTAGTTCATCAGCTGAAGTACCACCTGACTAATGTTCACGTGTCTGCTATTTTGGAACAGTATCTGCCAGGGACATGCTATATTCTGGTAGTCTGATAAGGGGGCGTTGCTTGCAAACTCTCCTCTGGTGTGTGTCTCTGGGCACCTTTTGGAGTCACTACAATAATGAATACTGGATAGGAAGGAGTCACAGCTGGAGAAGTGTGGCTCCAAAACTCCTGTGACTCTGTGACTCCTCCTTGGAGGGCACACAGCTTGTTGGATTGTTCTCTGTCCTCGTTAGGTAACGTATCAGAGGGAAGGGAAAACTCCAGCGGTGCTTTTGGAGAGCTAGTATGTGCTACTGCAGGCTTATCTGTTCATGGTGTATGTACACCTGCTTGAAAGATGACAACTATATGGCCACTCGCATGCAGGAAGAGGCTGTTCAGACCTGATTGCACCCTTCCACGTTAAGGTGCAATGAATAGGCAGAAGTCAGCGCTGTGTTTGCTTCTCCATGCATAAATGGATCATGGTTCCAGTTCCCTCAAATGCTCACAAAACATTGCCTAATAACGAGTAAGTAGAATGACCTCAAGGATCAAGAGCCAAGACTGGGCAACAGTGTTTGCTGTTAACTTTAAATTTTTCAGTGGTCTTCAGATCTCTGAATTGATGCTATTTTTTCTGCTACGGAGAGCAAACAGAAACCAAAAAAGGTCATGAACCCCATGAATGATTCCAGTTTTAATGATGATGTGTCCAATTTCTAACCAGCATTTAGAAATCCCAAAGGCTGCAGAGAATGTACAAGAAGATAAGACTACTATTAAAAAGCAAGACATGCTGAGGCATAAGCATTTAAGGAAGGCATATATGGCAAATGGGAGTTGTTAATGCCTATGGAGCATTATTGGTTAGAGATTAGGACACAGGAAGCTTTGGGTAGCTTTTTCTTTAGCTTTTTCTACAAGTATTCGGAAGCGTTCGTAATCAGGGATCAGATTTGATTATCCTTTTTTTTTTTTTTTTTTTTTTAACCAAAATGGTAAAAAGAGCTTAATACAAACTGAATACCAAAGCACCCTAGTAGTAATTAAAAACATAAATTTGCCCATAAATTTATAACATTTGAAGGGTTGATGCATATAAGGTTCATTTTCTGTAAAAAACAAAACAAGAGTGCTTTTGTATTTACCAGGGTGCTATAGAGCATTTTTTGCAGCTACATGCTTAAGAATTTTACTGTCACAAAATAATTTTAAGAATTGTCATTAGTAAGCAAAAGGAGACAATTTTGTCTATAGCAAGACTCTGCAAAAGGAAAAATTAAAAAGTGTCTGTGACGTGCAGAAAGCAAACTCCACAATCAAAGTAGGTGTGTTTATTCAGCGCCGGGCGGCACGGTGGGTAGTCCCACCAAAGTCGTGTGCACCCCAGCGCAGCACGTGCCTTGGTTATAGGTGGTGAAGAGTTACATATGCATGAACTTTCTCGAGATGCCTATACATATGCATGACCTATCCCCACTTTGTATTAAAATTAATTCCAGGGAGTCATTTTCATAGATTCCTCCTATCCACGCTTGCACAGTGTTTTCTGGTAGTGGTTGCTCTGGGTCGTGGAGATGAAGATTACTGAGTCTTCCTCATCACTGCTGGTTGACTTCTCATCTCAGCATAGACTCATAAGCTTCTCAGCTTCTGCTTAAACTGCAGATTTGGTTTCAGTTTCCTGTTTTCTATCAGAGACTGTGTCTCGTGAGGAATCCCAGAGTTTTTTGCCTCAGTTTCTTTACACAACAGGTAGCGGAAGATATAGTACACATCCCTTACCTGTCTTATTTACTAAAATTCTTTTGGCTTCCTTTCACATGCTCATTAGCCTATCTTATCTACCAAAATTCTTTCAGCCCTCTCTCAGCTGAGATCCTCACCTGAGCCTACGTTACTGGCTACAGAGTGTTTCTCACATTTTCGGCTTTGACAATTAAGACTGTTGTCAAAAATCAAAATACTAACGTTTTAAACAATGTAAGAAGAAAAAAAAGTGACAACTTTTGTGAATTAGTACATAATTTCAGCAGGAAGAAAACCAGCTGTCTTATGGGTCTGGTATGAGCATGATAATCAGCTTCCTCAACGGCACTGCTATTTGTCCCAGAACAACAGCCTCCACATGCTGCAATTGCTACCATCGAATCAAACCTGCCATTAATTAGACTTGAAAGAAGATGAAAAAATGAGAAGCATGTCCTCAAATTTCCCTTTCTGGCACTGCTGACATTACAGGGGTGGTTGTTCCTCTGCTGCAACAGCCTGACTTATGCAGGTTGGTCCTTACTTGGCTTACTGCCGATGGGCTGGCACAGTTCTTGTGGCAACATGCCAGCATGTGAGCCGTCTGATTGACCAGGATCTCTCTGACCACCTTCAGAGGTTGGCTTAGAACAGCTTTAAAAGCTACAAATACAGAAGAACAAGAGTATGTTAATAGCAAACACACTTAAAGTATCTACATTTTGCTAGTTTTTAATTAGTTTTAAATGTAGTAAAACTCACCTCTGTGGGTGCTTTTTCAGTCTTTCCTGTATCATTTTAGAGGATGCTTATTAATCTTCAAAAAATGCCATGCACTTTTGTGCATTACCTGTTTCTAGCTACCTTCCCTGGCATTATTTTTATGGCATGTGTATCTACATACATGATCTAGTTTTCTTTCCTATTTTGTAATAGAGTGGCAAATTGCTTGGGCTTGGAATAGCAAGTTACAAAACACGATTTCCCACTAGGCAATCACTTCATCTCCTACCTTTCTCTTCCTCCACCCCTAGAGAAAGCAAAAAGGAAACAAAATCGATCTGTTATAACTTTACCTGACTTAGCAAAGAAGTTGATAAGTGCGTCAGTCTCGCAAGGCTTGTAGACGTCAGCTAACTGGGAGCTACAGTTTAAACGGATATTGTGTACGCGCAGTCTTCTTGTCCACTTATTGATGTGTAGAGCACACTGCAACACAGATGAGCCAATTACCATTCATTTTGAGTTTAAAACAAAAAGTCAATTCTCAAAGCTTCCACTGTGTGAGAGCCACTGCTTAGTGCATAAAAGGCATATAACTACACCCAGGGACAGCCCAACCTAGTAGTGCTGCTTCAGCATTAATGAACTAGAGGAACACCATACCTGTTCATTTTGTGGAAGTAGATTAGACTTTTACATGCATTATAAAAATTATTAGCCTTAAAAGTATATAAATGTCAAAAGTATGCAAGTATATAAAAGTATATAAATATATGACTGATTGAAAGGCTTATTACTCTCTCATTTGCTACATACTGATGGTATCATCTGAAAACAAGAGACCACTGACTGGAAATCTGTAAAGCATCCCTTGTAATTGTGTAATATTTGAATGTGCTATTAAGAAGAGTGCCCCAAAGGAACATAACTGAAAAGGCACCATACCAGGCATCAGAAGCTTGCTGACAAGTATCTGTTCATCATGTTATTAGCAACAGCAACACAAAAACTTAGTAATCTTGAAAAGTGAAGTGGATCTTCTGATATGGATAAATTGATTACGAAGTGACATGAAGTCCTTCTAACCCCGCCCCTGTATCTCATCCCTTCCATTGACTTAGATATTAAAATTGGAGGGATAATTTAAGAATTTGCTTATGACTCTAATTCTTCTTCAATATAATGTTAGCATTTAGGAAAATCCTTTTCCAAGTATGTAAAGTAAAGGAACTGAGCTCAAGCTTTCCTGACTGCTAAAATTTTGCTGGCACACACTTGTTTCTTAACACCACAATTAAAAAAGAATCTCATCATCTTGTCTACAGATGGAAAATGAAGTTTGCAGGGCAAACACCAACACCAGGTGACTGCAATCTGCCATGCACTGGATCTGCTGCATGTCTCTATCAAAGGGAAGCCAGGTAAACACAACATCTATACGGCACGCACTTTTCCTGTCACTGCTGCAGCACTGCTCCAGGAGGTGATGGCAGACATACCAAACTGGATGTTCCACTGTACTGTGTTTGTACAAGGATTAACTGCTAGACTATAAAGTGTATTTATAGGGGCAAGATAAAAGCTAAGTGGAGCAGAAATGAAAGTTCAGGTAATTCCATGGCTTAAGTTCAAGACCTTGCAAGCTGTAACATTTTCTGCCATTAATAAAAGAAAAATGTCATAACAAAATACCTAGAACAGTAAATGGCAACCTTGCATTATCTGCTCTTGGTTGGGGCACATCTTTTGTTAGGCACAGGTGTATCACACGTGTTGGCAATTAGGCAGAGAAATGCCAGTTTTAAGTATTGCCTATTCTTCATTTCCAGGAATTATTACTGAAGGAATAAGGGTAAGAAGGGAAGAACAGATTTCTTTAGTTTTGGAACAGCCTGGCATTGCAAGGTAGCACTCTTTGGCTCGTTAATTAAAACCTTACTTTATTAGTGGTACTATGAAACTAGAGTCTGTGCAAGCTGTACCTTCCTCCCCTCAGTGCTACGGCATAACATTTTTATTTTTTATTATTATTAATTTTATTTATTTTTTATTTATTTAACAAATAAATTTATTTATTTTATTAATTTAATTAATTTATTAATTACAATTTCAAGACATAGTATGTCATTAAGTTTTTTTTTTTTACCTGAATTAAGGTGCTGCTGTCTTCATTCAGTTTGTCATCATGTTTGAACTCTACCGTCACTGCCTTGTCACAGTCAACTGCTGCCATTTTTACATCTGTGGTGTTCATGTAAATGGCACCAAAGAAGCCAGTAGCCCTAAAGCCTGTAGCCAGATTAAAACAAACAAACAATATTATTCTATTTAAAAACATATTATTTTATTTAAAAATCACAAGTACAAGTGACATTATTTTGTGACTTCTTTTTTGGTCATTCAATTGTGCTTACTAAAATGGGAACCATTTCCCCTGAGGGTGTGCAGCCTCAGTCAACGGCCTCTGTGAGGACAAAGTGAAGCTGCTCTGATGGGCCATGAAGGGGTGCTGCAGCTCAGAGATGCCCCACAACCTTTTGCACTGTTCACTCGGCTGTTTTGTGTGTTTGTATTTCTCAAATATTTGCATTTGAGGCAAGAATACTGAAAAGTAGGAATGTTAATTTAATTTGAAGTAATGAAAGAACATGTAAGTGTACAGCAACAACTCCCTCTTTTGTACAATTTATTTGCATTTCTGGATGCATGCATAATGATCAGAAATCTTAATTGTATTGCAGATTTAAGTAGGTATATACAGTAGGGGCACACTCATTTTACCAGTCTATACTGTTCAAAAGGTATATAATGAAGTTAAAACAGGAAGCCTGATGTTACGCGTGTTCTGTAGAGCACTTCTAGCACTGTATTATTTATAGTTATATATTCTCATGTGCACTCATATTTATTTTCATTCCCAACGGGTAGCGTTACCTGTACTTGTCTAAACCCTCATTATTGCATCTAAGCTGGTCTTTTTTTCTATGTCCTTCCTGAGGTCGGTGAGGATCTGGGGGCTATCGCGCTGAAAGCACAAAGCACAAGGTGCAGTTCACCACGGGGTGGCAGCAAACCAGCAGAAATCCAACACTCCCCCAGTCCGCTGTGAACTCTGCCCCTGCCCTGCCTTAAAAAAAAAGCCTTAAAAATTAGAGTAGCCTTGATCACTTAGCAAAAAATGGTTTTGCAGATCAGCTGATGACACGGAGAAAGTCCCCTATTCCTCATAAAGATTCCCATGAAATTTTAAACAAAGGAGTGTTGTTATGGCTTTTCTTTTGGGGAGGAGTGTCTTTATCATAAGCATTTTTAACTGTAAATGCAGGAGTAACTGACTACCCTGCTCAGATGTCACCATATGTAGGTAAGTGGGTTTAATTTTAGATACCAACCAGCTTATTTAGAAGTAAAATTATGGTCTCAGGATACCTCTTTGAACCTGATCTGCTGTTTATACATTTTAATTTTACCCCCTGGGGTTTATAAATAATTTTTCTAGAGTGACTCTACTGTTACACTGTCAAAGCATGCTTTGAAATAAAAACAACCAAACCCCAGGTGTTACTATCTGACAGGTAGGAAACTTGCACCACTTACCTGGAAATTGTTGTACAATGTTCCTCCAGCGTACATTGTGACAAGACCCAGGGAGGCTATGTCCACGTACTGCTTCGGGAAGAGGAACAAATTCACGCAGCAGCCTTTAGCCACGCTATCCCTGGCTAAAGTCTTGTAATAATTTACTTGAGGCTGGAAGAGTGTCTGCACAGAATTCAAAAAATACAGATGTGATGACATTAGATACTGTTGGTAGCCAATCAAACCAAATACCCAAATGAAAAATAAAAATGAGACATGGATTTGATTGCAATTGTGTTGCCCCTGCTCACACATTCTATCACCACTTACATGCATTGAAAACTCAGTATGTTCTTGTAGAACTAAATCACACCTTGCAGGTAGCAAAGGCTCTGGGTGGGTGGAATTATTTGCAGCTGGTCGATTTCCTTTACTGATGGGTGTAGCTGCTTGGCCATACTTTAGCCTCAGAATTCTTGTAGGGCCAATACCTATATATTTATTCTCTATATCTAAATCGTCAGGGCACGGTATAATATGGGAATATTATATATTTAAACAACAATTCTTTGTAAAAGAAAAGAAGTGAAAAAGACCAAGGCTGTACTAGAGAAATTCAGTGTAATAGCAGTCCCCTGTGAACTCCAAGTAGAAAATACCTTTTCTTTATCTGTATTGAGTAGTCTTTTGTCATCTCTGTTTCTCAGCTTCCCTGGTGCTTCCGCAGTTGGCAATGAAGAATAGAAGATAAACAATTTTCCAGCACATTCTGCAGCCTGTTGCAAAGACATCATATTGACATTAATTCTATTTCTCAGATAAACAAGCCTAATTTTCATTCATATGCTGTGGTGTCTCTGAGAACAGTGTAAACTTTCTGCAAAAGTTCTTCAGAGCCAAACCATTCAGTTAGTCCTTACACTTGATAGAAGTGAAGTCCCAAAGCAAACTGGGAATTTTGTGTCAGTAAATAACTTAGTGTAACATAGATCCTTTGGATCATGCACTGGTACAGTAATTCCTACATGGGATGCTAAATTACTCTTAAAAAGTAGTCTCTAAATAATGCAAGATTGACTTACCACCATATGCATCAAGAATTACTGACACTGCTTTTGACAACGTGTCTAAAATGCATATGCTCTCATTAGTGTCTGCAAACATCTCTGGAATCTGGTCCAACAAGCTATGAAAGAAGAAAAGTTCAGTGTCTCAACTAGTTAGTGTATTTGGGATAATCCCCAAAAATGTGACATACCAAGTCTTTATAGAGGAAGTTCTTTTCCATGCAAGTTTATACTTAAAAATTTTGATTTCTTAGGATTCCAGCCAGAATAAAATGAAACATGAATTTTAAAATTCTATTGAAATGCATTATTTCAAAGTTGATAACATAAAGGAACATGCATTAAATCAAAAATAGCTAAAAATAAAGGAGTTCTAGTATGGATAAAGACTTAAGAGTCTTTAGATCATACCTAGGCATGCATCACATATATAGGAGGAAAACCAGGAAAAACATGCAACATAGCAGAAAGCCACAGCCCGCCCTCCCACTTCTGATGAAGCAGAGCTGAAGATGCCTGGCTCACAGCTGGTCTAAACAGGCTTTCAAATTCAGCATTGCGCGTTGCTGCTACATTTGCTTCCCCTCAGAGGTGGAAATATAAGACTTGATGCATCTGCTGACTTGTAAAGCATTTCAACAAATTCATGCATCCTCCAAAACCCCGTAACACAATTGACTAAAAGGGAAAAAGTCTATTCTAAGCATTCAGCTCTTATTCCAATATGGAATTATTGTACTTTACTTGTTAACAACAGATCGTGATTCCTGAAAGCTAACACGGAAACCATCCAGCAAAGGAACAAAAACTTCTCCAACACCTGAGACCACCATCATCTGAGGCTGAGCTAAGTTGCTTTTTACTTTAAAGAAGTGGATGGCCTTGTTATAAGTGACAAAACCAACTCGAATTGCTGAGGATTCTTCTTGCTCTTCTCTGTGAGAAAAACAAAAAACAAGTGGTTATAATTTTGAAACTCTGGCCTTGCAATAGAAGCATTCATTTGAAATACAGGGCTGCTTTCATTATCTGTACTGGGAGCAACAAAGCAAACAACCAACCAGATGCAATTGCCCTAGTCTTTGCCTCAGGTCAAATTAAAACAACCATATTAAATCAACCATTGCAAATTTATTTTATAATATATATTAAAGTCAACCCTATCAACTGTGCATCCCATTCAAGCAGGCAAGAGTATCTAAGATAAAGAATAGACCCTGTCTTCAAAACATGGAAAAGAGGGAACAGGACAATCCTTTACAAGACACAATCAGAAAATCAGCTTTATTTAGAATACATTGTAATTCAGTGACACTCACTATCAATGCCTGGAGAGAACAGTTACTAGGCTTGAATAATGAATGTCTGGTGACTTTCAGAGTTCGGTGGCTCGATCTTCTGCTTTGGCAGGACTGCTTTTAAGCAGCAAAAGGTCTTGGATCCCTCAGTCGTGCATCATACAGAAAATGTACTATAGAAATTTCTCGTTATTCCTAGTGTGTTCCCAGGCCAACTAAAGCTCACAAACCGCTGCCATGAGCTACCCCTGCAAGAACACTGCAAGCAGTGAGCTCAGGAGCTGTTTTTCAGGAGGTAACTCCCCTAAGCACTAGTTACTGTGTCATTATTAGCAGTATCATTAATAAGACTAATGAGACCAGGTTTGCAGCCCTAAGTTTAGTAGAAGGCAACTGTATTCCAAAAATCAGTCTTAATTACTTCTAAAATAGCACATACTCTTAGTTTTACAAGCTTCATCTAAAACCTTGAGCTTGGGAGGGAAACCATTTTTCATTCAATAAAGAATGCTAATCCACCATTCCTGCTCTGTGGAAGCAGCTGGATGAGAAAGGGGCTACCTTTAATTTAAAACAAACCAGTATTCTGTATGAACACATTCCATAAAGAAGCATTTTAAACAATCTCTCCGAGATCCTCTAACTCAACTAGATGCATCCTTTCTGAATGCAAGTCTCTAATCATTCCTAGCAATCAGACACTACTATTTTCCAAGTAACATGATTAACAGGGAGCATTCAGGACAAGTTATTACTAAGTTTAGGCACATATAGCACTCTTCTACTTCGAGAAGAAATAGCCACATCATCCTACTGGTTCCAACACTTTTACATAGCAGATATTTGGGACAATTTCATCAGACAATTACAGTGTGGCAGTCTGCACACTTTATACAATTTGATTTCTTCTATCATTGTTTTAAAGATCCCTTGTCAAACACAGCAGTTGATTGCCTGTGCAGCTAACACACTTGGTTCTTTTTAACGTCTCAGAAGGAGATGTCTGAATCAAATGTACTCAATTTTTTTTTAAGTTATATGGCTAAAAATCATATTGGTACAAATAGCCTGATTCTCTGAGGTCAGGAGCAGAATTTCTGTAAGCACATTTCTCTGTATTTCTCTAAATAGAGAATCAGTGTTCTGGTTTAGAACATCTAAATTTGAAAGTGTCTGCCCTAAAACTTCTAGCAAGCAAATAACGTGTTTTCTGCTATGCTGCAAATCTGCAGAAGCATAAGGCCCTTTTAACACGAAGTCTCTAGACACCTAGCTTAGTCCATTATTTGCTAGCTTTAACTTCTCACTTCTCAGCCGTTCTCACAGGCTTACCTGCCACAAGCTGCTACACCAGTGGCCTTTTTGTTACACATTGCTCTGTTAACCAGAAGTCTTTCCTCTTAAAGAATTTGGGCTCCCGGAAATCTGAGCACAGGGTGAATTCCCAGCACGATGTTTTCACCTCATGTGATAACAGCAGAATATTTTTGCAGGTGTCTTTTTTCAGCAACAGAAAATGAACACACAGTGAAGTTCGTGTCTTGGCACCAAAATAAAAGTTTCACCACAAATGCTGGTGGAGTGAGTGCCACCAATTTTTAATTCATATTGTTTAAAGGCAACAGACAACTCTGAAGCAACTCACAGGCCTGCTCTTTATTTATTTATTTATCTTGCTTTTTTCAGTGGACATGAAAACTTTGTCCATGCAAACAGGGTATTTAGCAGTAGATATCTGCAGAGTGCTTGTGAGGAAAAGAGTATGTATACTATTTCTTGTGATGTAGATACACTTGCTTTCATTTTTCCTTTACTTTCTCTATTCAAGACTAGGTGTTCCTAAACTGCCAATTGTTTTTTGCTACTATGCTCGCGGCCTTTTATTATCTTCAGAGTCATGACCAATCCTGATAGAAAGCTCTGAGATATGTTCAGGACAATATCAAACACTCATGTCTCCAGTGTAATCTTCAATGACAAAGTGCTCCAGGGATGGTCTTACATGGGCATCTAACAAACTAACTCCCCACCCTGAACTGGAATTTCTTTCATGCACAGAGATCCAACAAGCACATAGGATAAAAAGATTTTTAACATATCCCAGATTATCTCAAGGATCTTGTCTCCCACTCTTCCTCACTTTGCTCCCTCTGTTTCTTAAGCCTGTTCTCCCTCTACAAACACTGTTATTTGGAATGTGTTTTCTTTCTGTATGCTCTTTGATCCTTTTGTATGCCTCAACTAAGTAACACCTTGTCTACTTCATTTTTTCAGTCTGACTTCCACTGCTTTCATTTAACTGTTGGCATTATTTAAATGTTAATAAAAACTGCCCATAACATATCATACTAAAAACTACACAAAACCACACTAAAGTAATATACCATGATTAATACAGATCAGTATTAATAGTACTACTACACGTTTAATGCTGACATCGCAAACGTGCCATATTTAACAGAATATCAGTTGCCTAAAAGATTTGCTAGCCTCTCAGATACATACCAGGGCAGAAAAATCTCACAACAAAGCAAGCTAAGAGATCTGCTGATTAACAAAAAAGAGCTAAAGATATGACCCACCAACACTGGCTTTAGAGAGACTTTACTTTCTTGAGATTCTGGTTTGTGGTATTTCTCTGCTTAATTTAAGGAGAAAAGCAGTACTACAGTAAACAGAACTACAGAAAGTAAAGTCAAAACCACAAGCTGGGACTTAGCTGATAACACCACTAGAGTTCAGTACAGGAAAAGAAAAGAAAGGATGCTGCATGTTCAATCAGTGCATCACATTCCTTCTGTTCATAGAATAAACCCAGATATCAAACTGAGTTTTTCAAAAACTGTCAGCAATTTTAAAATTACCATTTAGTCACTATCACCTCAAAATGCCTGTACTGGAAATTCTGTCATTTTTAGCACTTCCTTGGTTTTACCTCTCAACATGCATAGCTTCTTGAAATCTGTAGTATGGTACATTGAGCAAAACACACTTATGTTTCTTTACCTTGGAAGCTTATCTAGCAGAGTCTTCCTGTTCCTCACTGAAGAGTTCAACTAGGCCACTGTTTATATTTCTGTATGATACATCAATCACGAAGATATAAGCTGGTGGATTTGGAGGCTTGTTATCCTATGGAAAAAATATTGACAGGGAAAATTAGACAGTGTCATGTTAATGTTGACTGCACAGCTTCTTAGCCACAGTTGTACATAAGAGACATGTAAGTAGCATACATATTGTGATATACACTACTGACCAAGCTTCTGTGACTATCAAGATGATGATTGTTTATTTTTGTTTAAAAAAAAGCAATGTAATGCTTACAGATGTACCCAGGAAGATCATATAGAGTGCACATAGCAACAGAAATCACGATGGGCCCAGCCATACACCTAAGTTCGTTTTTTCTAATTCTGATTAAGATGAGTAGTGGTCGTTACCTGGTGTCAAATTCAGGACAACTTTTCCATTATAGTTATTTATGCTATTTCACTGCCTTCATATAAAGGATTCTGACCACCTACCAAATTATACTCATAACAAAGAAACCACAGAAAACTCCATCTAAGAAAAAATCATCTAATCCTTGAATTATGACTTATCCATAGTCATATCCTCAGAACACATAAAATTAAACATTATACCCTTGATCTCACTTCATCTGAATCATGTAAATCAAGATCAACTTGTCAACTAAAACCAGACAGTATTGTTCTGTTTTCTGTATTTGTATACTAGTTTCAAAAGACATATCAAACATTACTTTCTGAACTCTCGTAGCACATTGCTATTTATAAAGAATTCCTGCATAATTTCTGACAAATATATGGCAGAAATGAGAACTAGTGCTCTTGCCACATCCGCTTAGCAGGAGCACAATAACGCAAAACAGCTGTTATTTGTTAACATTTTTTGTAGCTGTTCATCCTTGTCATTTGATAAGCACAAAAGGAAATGGCTTTTCAGTTCTGGTCTTAAACTGATTTATAAAAGAACTAAACTTTTCTAACTTGGAGCAAAATGAGAAAATTATTATAAAATAATGTTAACTTCTCTAAAATTCAGTGACTAACAGTTTCCAGTGTGAATGTTGATTTTATCAGAGATTTATTTTTTGTATCATTCTGCTGAGTCTATGGAAGAGGTCTTTGCAACAAGAAGACAAACCATGCTAGATGGCTTATCACAGAAGCTCCCTCATTGAAACTGTATGGCAAATTCACTGCACTGAAAGCAAGACTGTGATGATGAACACAGGGTTACATGTTAGAGAAAAAGAACTGTGAAAACGGCATGGAGCTGTTCAGTATACACATTTTCAAAAGCTTAGCTGCAGAAAGCAGCAAAGCTACACTGAGGATCCCACATTATTTCTGTAATGCCCCATTACAGCCACTGAGTTCTCTCCTGTCCTGAGGTTTAACGCAGATGTCAATGGAATCTCTAAAGGCAGTCTCCGGGATTTCACTGGACTTCGTGAGAGACCAGAATTAAACAACCCGTTCATTTCTTCGTACACCAGCAATAATCTGATGGTCTGAGGAAGTTACTTGTACGTACTTCAAGGCTTTGTTGGATTGAACCGCCTTTCATAATTTTATCATACCCACATTCCACTGATGGGAAGAAAATTTCACCTTCTTTCAGAAACGACCAAAAAATATGTCCATGCTGTGGGCAGGTGAGGTCACGCTAGGAAGAAAAATTTTGTCAAGTTTGAAAAGCTTAAATAATTTGTGCTTTTGGCAGTACAAAATACATTTATCTAATAAAATCAACTACAAATACTTCCAGTGACTTGAGTAGACTTTGGAACAAGTTCTTAACTAATTTAGTATTAGGACAGAGAACTCATTCCATTATAACTTACTGGTCAGAACACTAAAACTACTCATGCCAAGAAAAGATTCAGATTCCCATGCTAAGGTTTGAAAAGCTGAGAAGGCAATTCAGGTGCATGTCTGTCTGCAAAATTAGTAAGTCATGCAGCTAAAAACCAAAACTGCATCACAGAATTTGAACTATAACCTCTGAACATTCTCTACATCTTTCCAAGGACCAAACCCGCACCTCAGTTGAAGATTTGTGATCCATGACTTTGAGGAACTTTTGATTACTGTTAGTTGCTAGTCTCCAACACAAAAGAGCAAAACATTATTGTAAGCTTAAATCCTCCACATCTGAAAATTTCCTAAAATGTTCTTGGACTCTGATATTCAGCTTATAAATGCATTTACTCCAACATAGGTATTTAAAGGATTTTGTTTGTGTTGACATAAAATCATAAATTATTTTGTGCATTGGAAATACTCAGCAATAATCCAAAGTAGCAACGTATTCATATGATCCCACAGATAGCTCAGGTCTTTCATAATGGTCTACCCGTCAGACAATGTGGTCCAGATGTTGAAAGAAGAACAGTGGGACTAAAAACCAATACAAGAGCAGGAAAAAAAATGTTTACAGTGTGGAGAGGAACAACCCAACAACTCCTTTCAAAAGTTACCATGTGGTAACACAGGCTCCTCTTTATTGATCAAGGAGGTGTGTAAACACTTCGCCAGGTTATAATATTTTTTTCTTCATGCTGATTTAAGAAAACAAACAAAGCTCACAACATTCTAGTAATGCAAGCTCGTCTTGTATTTGGAGAATACAATCCCCCCATGAATGTCAATTTTCTCTTGTCTCTACCCTGTTAAGCCTGAGTAGGTAAAACTGATCCAGGTTATTTCCACAGGCAGGAGTCTGCTATCCTCAGGCTACAGATTAAATTATGGCTATTTTGTTAGAAAGATACCATCTACTCAAAGCTTAATTCACATCACCGGAGTTAAAAACAGAACTTTTCCTAAAGCCTGTGCTGCTTTATGCAACATTACCACTTCACTGGAAATAGCTCTGCAACGTTCACAAACCTGGCCTACTGTACAGCAAGCTGCCTTCAGTCCATAGCTAGTCTAATGGCTAGTCACACTGGGAAGAGTCACCTCTGGATTTTAGCTCTTTTTTTCTCAATCTTTACACATTTAGAATGTTATTTTTTACATTTCTGTCTGTTCAAAGCAGGGTATGCAGAATATCTACCTAGTTTTTGGGGCATTTTAAGGTCTCATTAATGTTTTTAAGTGTTTTCCAATGTGGATAAAAGACACTACTAATACATGTACAAAGCATGATTGAAAATGATACTGCAACTGAAATGTCTTAAAATGTTCATAACAGATTCAAATTTCTCTTTATGAGAGTTTAAATTGCTAACAAACTAGGAAATTTGCTATCTGCTATGCTTGCACAAACATCAGAGCCTCAGGCAGAAAAGAAGTTGGAATGAGCCTGTCAAGGTTCACGTTTCAGAGTTGAAAAGATTACTGTATTAGGGAAAGCACTATACCACTGTGATCCAGCTGAGGAAATCCAACTTGATACAAATGTCTAGAAAGGCTACTTCTGGCAAAGATCTGGGATTTAGCCAAGAGCACAAGAACAGTTATGAGTCACATGCAGCACACTTGAACAAATATGGCATGGTATCTTCTGTGAAAACCAACACTTGTCACAGGAAGATTAATAGGCTATTTAACCACTGTATCCACAGTCGTGGCCAGGACTAGTCTAACATGGTTCTAAATAATTCTTTGCTGAACATTTAGATTTCTTGAAGAAATTAATTTCTCTACAAAAAAGTTGCTTTTGGTTAGCAATACAAGCAACTTTATATCCTATGCTGACGTAGTATTTTAAAATAAACTTTTGACCATAACAGACTGGACTTGGAATTCATGGTTTAGCATTATTTTTTCTTATATTTATTTTTAAAAACCGAACTGAAGAAGAAGTGTTTTAAGTATTTTTACCAAGTAGTATTTTGTGTTGTTGTTTTAATTTGTGAAATAGCCCTTGCCACTGCATCTCACTATACTATTTTCAAGTCATCTAGTCAGGAAAATCACTTCAGGGATACAGTTCCTTTTTAGTTTTATAGAATTTGTATGGACCACAGATCAGAGAAATATCACTTCCCATCATTTATGCAATTGCAAAATCCACACTGATACCTTCTTCCATCTTCAATAAACTGCATGAAGGGACACATGTAAGCTTTGCACCTGTTACATCAGATTGGTCCAGTCTCACCATGGTTTGCAACATAAAGAGGTGTCTAAATGAAGGGGTACATGAAGTTATAAAAAGCACTGCAAACTTGAAACCAAATAAAGTGAGCTAGAAAGCTGCTGCTCAGCCTTAACACTTGTTAGATTTCAGCTGACCAAGAAATTGTTGTTCAGCATTTATTCAAATTCTCCAGTACAGCTGGTTCAACCTCATAGGTCCCCTAAAGAACTTAATTTTCAAGCTTGCAAGCTCCCTATTTTGGTATTTATCAGAAAGCAATAAAGGATCCATACAAGGAGCCTACAAAACTTTGAAAGCATTGGAAGTTCAGGGCTCTAGGCTGACTTTCTCCAGCAAAGGGTTTTTATAGCTCAAAAGGGAGAAATCTGCTGGGGTCAGGTATTTCGCCTTCTCTATCAGATTGAGCTTTTCTCAAATAAATTTGTTGATACTCACTGATTGCATGCAGCTATTGCAAACAGGTAGTTACTAAGAAAGCTTCTAATATTTTCAATTAAATGCCCTTCCCCCTAATGCTGCTGTGTTACATGCTATACTAAGGTTTAATGCTGCCAGGGTCACCAGCTAGAGTAGAAGATTTAGAAGTACTAATATTTACTGAAGGAAAGAACATACAGTAAACAAATACAGTATCTCAAACACTTGTCAGCTTAATTACACTGACCATGCTTGCTTATAGCCTCTGCCAAAAACCACAGCTAATGGAAGACATTTTCCAGATGCCTCTTGCAGTAATAACTGTGCAGCAACTGAAAGATTCCTGTAATTGTAATTTATGTTACAAAAGTCATACTTGAAACCACCGCACAAATGGAAGTTTGTTCAATTATTTGTGAAACTCTATGGAGCATAAACAAACGTGGTTTTTCTTTTTTCTTTTTTTTCTTTCTTACTCCCTTCAACCCTAACTAAAATCTCTGACTGTAAGAGTAAGAAAATAAATCCAGAGTTGGGCCCCATGATAGATCTCTACAAGAGGAAGAACACTGACAACCCTCGAATGCTAGAACTTTTCCACTAGCATATTCACTTATTTAAAATTATTGTCTCTTATGGAATGGACATATTTAATCTATTATACACTTTTATCTTTTATTGGAGCATAAGAGTCTTTGAATACCTAGAGAGTCATACATGTTCTTCTAGCATTCACTGCTTACATGTATTTTATTGTTTGTTTATATTTTACAGAGACAATTATTTTACTTATTTATTTCTCCAAAGGATTTGATGCTTTTTGCCAAGAACTTACTACACAGTACATACGGGTAGATTTTACTACATGGGTTTTAAGTGATCCCTCCTGCTCCACTGAGATAATACATTGCTTCATGTTCTTTCTTCTACGAAAACTGAGTTTAACACAAATTGACACATAATGTCAGTTGGCAAACTATCAGGGTCATTTTTCAGACACTAGAGCCTTGGCTATAAAACCTGCTTACTAGCCACAATAACTTAAGTTTTAGAACTTCTGGGTTTTGTTCATTACTTGGCAATTTTCTGATTATCATTCTGCTGTATTAATTTAATGAGGCCTGGATCTGGCTTGCCATTAATAATACAGTATCTGAACAGGTAGGGAAAAAAGACACCCTTACACAACACCCCATGTATTTATACACATTTTTTTAGTGATTTTAAGCCCTGTTCTAATACACTTAATGTTATTCAAGAGCAGAGAAAAATTACTCTCAAATGACCATATTTTGAAATACCTTATTAAAATTAAGATCTTTACCTATAAAGCATGAATAAGAAAAATCATAAAAATAAATGCCATAAAGTTCAGAGCCTAGGTAGCAACATTCTTCTACATACTTAATAAATTACCTTTTTAATGACAGCAGAAACAAAATATTATTTTTTTCCTTGTCTTTCCATTTCTGGAGTGGAAATATTTATCTTTCATCTCCCTTAAGCTTCATTAAAAAAATTTACTTATTACGAAGTTTTTTTTAATGTGGTTTTAGAGCCCTAATAGCCTACGGGTTACTAAGATCTGCACGTATGTTTAACTTTCTGCATCAAACGTTCTTCTTGAAGTCAACGAGACTATGTGCAGTGCATGAAGTTAAAATATGCTGTCAAGTTTTACAAAACCAGTATTCCAATCTTATGTAGAGAAATAAAAGATAAAATACCAATAAAATCATACTGGAGAGGCTGGCTATTTTTAGTTTCCAAAAAACTTGCAAAAACTATAAAACAAAACAAAACAAAACCCCAAATCAATGGAATTAAGCCTAACTAAGAAATGCATGCAATAGACTGAAGGATTTTGTCTAACAGAAAAATCTTGAAAAAAATACCTGTTTTTTTGATTTCTTAATGTGAAATGTCCATTTACCTTTCAGTATTTTCTTAAAGTAATTTAAACCACTACATCACTAATGAACATATCTAATAATAAACCATTTTACATGATAATTTTTGAATACAGACTCAGACTGAAATCATCCAGACCCACTTCTTCACAACACAGTTGTTACACAAATTCATTTCTGTTTGGGTGGGTAAACTGCTATTACATTTCCAACTGTCAATTTCCATTAGAGTCAAAAAACTTTTTTTTCTTTTTAATACCTAAATCTTATAGGAATTTACAAAGATAAATGATGTACAAGCATTTAAAAAGAAAAAAAAAAAAACAAAAACAAGTCTACACTAATGAATACATAAAACAAAAACTGTTGCCATCCACAGCCCAAAAGAAATGGTGCTAAATGGGAAAGCCCTGCTTTCTAGGCTCCACAGCCTGTACTTCACTCTCTGTAGATGTCACTGTACACCAGAAGATAAAGGGATCTGTTTACGGTCCCATGGAACTCAGTGGCAAACTTTCACAGAAGGAGGGGATTAAGATAAAATAAAAAAAACTCAGATTCCTTTTTTTTTTTTTTTTTTGAAACCAGTGCAGTATTCCTTTTCCTTTTGCTTCTCCAGCTATAAACTACCAGCATTTTCCTTCTCTCCTCCTGTAATTTTCTACAAATAATAAATGAATCAATTTAGGTATCTACCATAACTATTCGAACATTTGCTGTATTTGTGTGTTTTGTTCTTGCACCTCTCCTACTCCTTTATCTCCTCAAAATCCTTTCCCCAATTTACCTGTTTGGATCACCTGACTGAGCACAGAGACAGTCCTCACAAAACTGGACACGTAAGCATTGACTGTCAGCTTTCCAGCACTATCAAATTATAAATATTTATCAAAACCGATGACTAAAACTACTACTCAGTAGGATAAATCTGACCTCGTAAATAGATTCCTTTTATGTAAGCTGGAGGACTGGAGAAGCAGAAAGAATCAGCTGCAGTGGGAGGCAGAACAGTATGGTTTTCTGTTAAAGGGGATTGGGCAGAAGAGATGGAAAACGCTGTGGAAGACCTGCATAAACTTTCCCTTCTCTGAAGCCTCAGGGCCCCACTACAGTGCAAGCCCTGAAAGCTGATCTGATAAACTATAACTTATCTCACTATTAGTCCAAATATAGCTGGGATAGCAAGAGTTATTTTGGAAATATTTCAGCCAGAACATCTCTCTGGAGTCAGCGCTGTATCAGAGAGCAATAGATAGGCATTGGTGGCACTGCTCCAAGATGAAATACATCCATAAAAATTTCCAGAGGGACTATAACCTGTGCTTTAAAGTCTCAGAGAGCTGAATTACTATTGCTTGCTATAAAAGTGAAGACCTGACCTACTCCTGAGGGTTCCCTGTGATGCCTGCAGAGTATCACTGTTTTCATATTGCAGGATCAGGGCCACAGCTGGAAATTATAAGTGTAGGAACAAGGACTGCGATGAAGCTCAAGTTCATCATGGCACATCTCTGGAAAAGCATTCTGAAGAGAAAATCAGAAGAGAGTCTCTGGAGAATGAAAAAGAGGTATATGCAAACAGTGATGAGAACTAGCTATTTATCACACAACAAACTGAAAAATATACACCATCTGCTTTAATTGCCAGACTCACATACTGGGCTACAAGAAAACCTTTCGTAGCTGTGCTGCAAGTCGAATCTCCATATGCAACATACAAAATGCCTTTGCCTCACAGCCAGTGTGGACTCCCCACAACATACACCCTATTAGTACCTGATGAATCTGCATTAGGAGCAATATTTTTGCCTAGAGTTTGACTCCATGATCATTTGAATACGTTTAATACCCCAGCGCTAAAATGACAGGAACATGTATTGAAATGAGACCCACACAACTTGCAAATCTGGCTACATCCAAGGGGAACACGAAAACTTGTACCAGGATTGTACCAGCAATTTTCAGTTGCACCAGTACCTCTATCACAATCCCTTCCTCCTCTTCCCCACCAGATGAGGAATTTGCGACCTGTTTTGGCATATACTTTTGAAGAACTTCACTGGTTTACAGAGATAGCTGCTCTATGCAATGTTACACCGTATACTATACATGACAAATTGCCTGTTCAACTGCAAATTATCTCAGTACAAATGATTTTGAAAGCACATCCCTTGAAAGAACCATATTTAGTATCTGAGATTTCAGGAGACTAGTTAATTGATGTGTTTAGATGAGGGCTATTTGTTTCTAAAGGAAGATTATCTCACGGGTTCGGAAAGCTGCACAGATACATATCTCTTGATGACTTATAATATGATAGTTCCTTAAAATTACATTCTACAGTACTCTAGCATATAAAGCATTTTATACTTCAGTACAGCAAACATTAAACACAATGTGTTTGCACAACTGATTACCTGAAATAAAGACACAACTGCCAGTTACTCAATTCAGACAATTCATCCCACAGACAAGCTGTGTGGGGCAACAAAATCCAGAAAGGCAGTGTTTCTAGAGCTATTTACATTGACATTCATGTAAGTCTGATTATTAAAATATTTATACAAGCATTTTAAGAGAGGCTACACAATATAACTTTTTAATGATCAGGGGGAGATGATTGTTGGCCAAGGTCAGTACCGCTGCCCCATGCAAATCTGCAAATCTTGAGCTTCATTTGTACAGTAGAAAGGTAAAGTCCACAGGATAATCAGAAAATTTTGAAATGTAGCGCTTTTTTTTTGGGGGGGGGGAATGACAGGGACAACAACAACAACAAAAAACAACCCTAGGTCATGAACTAAACTGCCTGTGTTTTCTAGGACTGTTGAAGCATTTTGTTCTCTTTTATTATACCATCACAGATTGCTTTTGAGAACCATTAACCAGTCAACAACAATCCCCGGGTTTTGAGTTGCTTTACTGGTTCACATTAAAATGTCATGAAAGCATTTCCCTTTGTGATGTTCCTACTGTCTTTTATCAGAAGCCATTCCCTCTGAAGTCAGAAGCAACTTTGCTGATTATTGATTTCTGGATGCTGAACACTATGAGCCTCTTCAGCTGATATGACTCGAGCCAGTCTGTACTGCATCCTCTAAAAAGGTCATGGCAGGTTCATATATTTTCTGTAATAATGCTTTTTCATCTATTTTATTTGTTTGCATAATGCAGCACAGCTGAAGCGTCAACCCTATGATGCAATCTCTCTTAGCTCTAACCCAATTTTTTATAAATCTCAGTGAAATGCAAGGAGTATGTTGAAACCTTCTTGTTCAAAAATCTTCCGCACCCAGGCCAAACATGCACCTGCATACATGGTAGCAGGAAAAATACTGGGGCATGGCAGGTGAACTTCAAGTTGGCACTGCACAGGAATAAGAACCAGCATGTACCAAAATCAACAGAAAGCTAATCAATGATATCAGTGCATCGTAGGTCAGACTATCCACAAAATATTTATTCAGTCAGCGTTCCCTTCTTAAGGGGAACGTTGCAACTTACTGAATAGAGCTAGTAGCATGAAGAGTGCAAATGCAGGCTTCTCTAATCAAAAGTAGAAGGATTTAAAGAAGTTTGGGGATGGGGGAAACACATGAAATACTGATAAAATTTTGACACAAAGAAAGCCCAGAAGTAGGTAGCTTACTTCTTTAGAACTTCCATAACCTACTGGTGGCAGAAGAAGGGAAAAAAAAAGTTTAATATCCAGGATTAATAGAGAGACAATTTCTTCTGGTCACGATGCCAGGTTGGGAATACCAACTGTTAACAAGGCAGCTCTCTCCAGCACTTCTCAGCTTTGAAGTGGTGACTATTATTTGGATGTACGGACATGCTGCATCTCAAGTGAAGGTCAGCCAGGATTAACTGATGATATAAGCAGGAGCGTGAAATTGGATAATCAAGAAACTGTGCTGAACAACAGACTTTCAAAATGTTAACACTTTAAAGAATCAGATCTCAAGCAGGACATCTCTCAGTCGAGAGAGATACACCTATACTCAGCAGCAAAAGTGCAAGTTGGTGCTGCAAGGTGGTGCAGAGGCACGCACACAAGGTGAGAACAATGGAAGGAGAAGGAAACAAAGCTACCCTAGGGCAGCTCAGCCCCCTCTTAGGGCTGCTGACGGTGACACGCACATGTTAAATCACAAGAGGATACTGGTTCATGCCTGGACTAATCCACAGCTCCATTTCCCACACGTCAGTATCACAGATGGTCCAGCACTGCAGTCCTTGTCTGAGATTTTTTGGCATTGTCACATTAGTTGTAAAACCATAGAAAAATAGACAAGTTTAAGGTACCTTTTCTACAGAAATGTTAATAGTTACAAGAGGAGGTAGTCTAGCTTAATTGATAACAGAAGTTTCACAATAAAATCGGGAGTTTGATTTTCCATGAGAAGGCATTCTGATTTAAGATGTCTGGCTTGACATTCATTCAGCAGAAAATGAAATAAAAGATAGTGACATAGTTTACAGAAGCAAATGAAATTAGCAACACATTTTATTTTTTTTTGCAAATCACTGCAGAAAAGCCCTGAAGTATCTTCAAAACAGCAGACAGACTTTGGGCTCTAAATACTATTTCTACTGACTTCTTAACAGGTCTAGTCTCTGCATGTTTTGTACGGTCACATCAGTGTTAGTTTATACACACAAAAATTTTCAGGATGGCTAAATACACAATAAATCTAACACCAGTTTAAAATACAGGCACAACCTATTACCTGCAAACATAATGGATAAACTGGCAGATCAATTCTGTTTTAGAGTAGCCAACGACCACTTTTCACAAACACAGCTGTGACTGTTTCTAACACACTCTAGAATATCCTCAGGATAGCCAGTCAGGCAACTCACCAAACAGGGCTCAGGGAACACGCAGCTCTAGGTTTAGGGAGCAAATATTTAAGTTTGTAAATAAATCTAAGTATAGGGTTGTGTTCTAATCTCTTAAGCAACAATTCGGGATGAATTTCTGCCACAGGAGAGCATTGCCAGTGTTATTCAAACCTTTGCAGAAAGAACAAAACCAAAACCTAAATGGATTTCAGGATCATTGTGGCTACTGTCAGCGTCAGTGGCCAAACAGATGGGGTTCTTCTGTTATTTTGTACAGATGCACACACACACAGAGGTAGGTAGACAATGTATGTATACATATAATTTTTGTCAGCATTTGTGAGAAAAGTATCTTACTGATTTCAGATTTACAGCATGAAAGGTCTGTTGAATGGAGGGTTTCTTTCCTTCTCAAAAACCTGGAGCTGTTTCTTTTTTTTTTTTTTGTTAGAAGGTATTGCTATGACTTTTTAAGCCAAGCTTACATGTGTTTTAATTCAAGGTGTATTAAATAGTTCTGCTTAACATTGTTCAAGAAAGCAAGCAGGTAAGTAGTAAACATGCTTCTAGGGCTAGTTAATTTACTTCCATTGAAATTGGAAAGAAGTAAGATTACCTGAAGTGTCAGGTAATCTTGCCTCTATTAGAGGAATACTTAGAAAGAATAAGGAGAATTGTTATTACGTGAACAAAAAGCAGCACAGGATATCTTAATCTCTGAAGCAAGGATATATGGGGTGAGTTTAATATCCTTTTTAAGTCCTTTCCATGATACAGAAGCTTAGCTTTGAAGGTCAGTAGCAAAACTAGCTGTTATTTTAAAAGTATAACAACAGGTAGGAGTGTTTATATTCTGAGTCTCCCTTCCATGAATACTTTCACTGCTATGATAGCTGGATGCTTCAGGCAGACTCCAGGATCTCCCAACAGTAAGAGTGTTTGTATGCAGCTACACTCCTCTCTTTTATTTGAAGCTTAAGCTGCTGCTGAATATCACAAGTAAGGGGCTGTGCAAAGAGCTAGGAGCTAAGCAGTCCTGGGAAGGACAAAAACCTGTACTATTGCTCCTCTACTCTAAGGCTGAGGACATCATCTTTGCATCTATTTAGCAAGCACAGATTACCTGATTCTGTCAAACACTAAACAGAAAAGCCCCTCCTTCACATTTATTTCCTGTGCTACAAGAAGAGAAGGATCCCTTCTCACAGAATAAAGGGACATATGTAGAAGGCTTAGTCTCCCCTATTTTCCTACAGGACAGCATTAGAGCCTGCTATGATTAAGCCCTAGATGTAGCCTCATGCTGCTGACCTTCACTTGAGATGCAGCATGTCCACACATCCAAATAACACTTTGATACTAAGAATAAATCTAAACATTAAAATAATACAAATAAATAAGATCAAACAACATCAGCTTATTCAGTTTACTAAAAACTTCTTTTTCCTTTGAAATTACATACATTACATTGTTCCATTCACAATATGATTCTGCACTACTGGACAGATAAATAAAATATGCATAAACTGAACATGCAAGAATAGCTTCAGTATAAAAAAAAATAAAACTTTTCATCCTGAACCAACTAAATAGCAGGGTGTGCTGACTCTGTGAAGTTTCCAAGGTAACTGAGTAACATCCCTGCAGGCTTAATGTTAGAGCTCGCAGTCTTACAATGTTTAATTTGCTGCTGTTGCTATGGTCAACTTTGGCCAGTGCATAAGTGGAGACAAACACCATTTCAGGAGAGCAACATGCAGCCTGTAGAGGAAAATGCACCCACAGAATGTCAAGTGGCATTCAAAGAGCTATTTTGAGTTACAGATGTATCTAGCAATAGCCAATGTAATTTTTTTTTTATGAGTGTAATTTTTGTTGGTGAAACAAATAAGCGGCTATGATCATTATTTTTTAATTCCCTCTTTCCCCTTGATATTTACTGGTGCTTAGTCAGGTTCTTCTTCAGCCATGACCATCCTGGAGAATAGATGGGTTCCAACTAATCAGAAAGTAATTACATTATCGTAACCTAAATCTTCAGAAATGCACTTTTCCCAGTCTAACCTTTCAAGACTGCTCGAATTAATCAGAGATTCTGATTAAAATATGAATAAGGTATGTATGAATGTCAATTTTCCAAGTCACTGTCCCCATCTCTTTCAGAATTAAGTTCTTACTGTAACAACAGTGATGCAAGGAGCAACACACTACGGAAGTATGAAGAGTATTTTAAAGTATACACTAAAAACAAAAATGGGAAAAAATAAATAAGGAAATTTACTTGAATTAGGAAAAACTGCGCGGCCAAAACCTTTGCTAACTTTGGCTCTACATTCTTGTTACACCGTGTAGTGACAGCCCAATAGGCTAACAAAAACTTTCTCCTAGAAGATGAAGCCTTGGGAAGCAATCCAATTCCACATGCTTTACTACCAAATGCAGACTAGCGCTGGGCATACTCCATAAAGAAAGCCTTATCTAATACAGGATTTATGCATCTCTAAATTAGGCACTGCAAAACCTAGCTTGCAGGCACTGGCCTCCCGAGTGATATAAAGCTGTCGAGGTAAGGCACCTGGAGATGCATACAAGTTCTGGGCTCTCTATACCATGCATGGAGTAGTCAGGCACCGCAGAGAGCTATACAAAAAAACACAACATTAACCTGGAGTTAGTCAGTAGGAGGAAGGAAAAAAAAAAAAAAAAAAGCACTGTAAGAGCAACAAGGCTCAACAACTTGTTTCCAGATTCCAGCCGGACTCAGGACCACAAGACCAGTTCCACAGTTCCCTCTCAAATGAAGGTGTTAACAGGTGTGCTTTGGAACATGTTTTAACATCCGAAAAAATTGAGGAAATAGTAGTGTTTAGGCTCACATTTAACAGAGCAGATAGACAGTGATGAGTTCAGGATACAAGCTTATGCTACCTGGACAGTTTCTACATGGATTGACTGTTCCAAATAGCTCATCAATGGATTGGTTGTAAAAATACTAAGGCAGTCTTAAGAACATGGTGGAATGTCCTGTAGCATGGCCCTACGTCTAAGATAACTGGCCTGGTTGGAATCTACAAGGCAGTACTGGTGCATGTGCTTTCTTTCTGGTCCACCGACTTCCATCTCTGGAAGTTTAAACAGAGGCAATGCTGTACAGACTGCTCAATAGCTCCCCATTCCTGGAGGGTGAAGAAGCATTTCAACATAGACTGCGTCCTAACTATTAAGTTACATCACACACTCACCATGTTTTAGAAGAACATGACAACAGGCACAGATTACTTTGAAAGTATGCCCAAAACACATTGACAAAACTCAGACACTGCTGGATCTTTGACAATCCAGAAAACTACACAGCACAGCACACAGGGCAATATGCTCTAGTTACTATTCAGAGATAACGTTTTGCTATCTCTTCACTGGTCAACAGCTGCTCTTTCTGCCATGGAGTACTCATTTGAGAGGAGGAAGGCTTTGTTACCCGCAATGGAGAAGAAAAGTTCAGTATTGTCTACAAACACATGACAATTTTGAATAATTTCAATATAAAGAGTCATATACAGTTTACACAAAGGAAAAAGGTCATGAAACATCCAATAAGCCCTGACATTTCATTTCCACTAGAGGTGAATATGAAGTGGAATCTCAGTTATGGCAAGTCCCATATGAGGATTACAAATTTACAAGCCAACACTGAAAACGACATTTCAAAAGAGACAGCAGAGTAAAACAAATGCCCAGCTCTTTCAGAGCCTTTCCTTCAGAAAGTCTTTTTTTTTTTTTTTTACTAGCATCTTTTGCTATTTAAAAATATCTTTCCAGTAGTAAGGATAATTTACTGCCTAATCATGGGGTTCTTACCTAAAAGGACTCACAGTGCAAAATTGCTGAACTGCATAAAACTAATTGCTTACGTGAGCTTCAGCGCTCGAAAGTAAAGAAGGCACCAATATAAAAAGAAACTTTACAAAGAACTTCTGGGCGATCCTAGAGCTACAGACCAGCAAGTCTTACTTCCACAGAAAGCAAATTGGTAGATATTACAGTGGAGGAGAACATAGAAAGACGTGCCAATAAACAGGATGTACAGAGGAAGATTTGATGTGGCTCTTGCAGACGGATGTCATGACATGATCCATTGAGTTCCATCAAGAGTCAGCCAGCATGCAGGCAAACATGACCCAGTTGACATAATGTATTTTGCTCTTTGCTTTTTAAAAGTCTTTTGATAGAATCCCTCACTGAAAGCCCTTAAATTAGCTAGTCTTTCACACAGTATTGGGGAATGTCCTCCTGCAAGTAACTAACTAAAAAAATTAAAGGGTAAAATAAAATGATGGCTTTTTACGGTGGGTAGATGCTATCAGTGAGCACTTCTGTTCTGCAATGTGCTTTTTAATGCATCCCTAATGGAAAGGAAGAATCAGTAAGGTATTTCCATTAAATCATTTTGTACTGCCTGCAATGTAAGTGTTCCTCAGTTCCCTCAAACCAAAGCTCTGCACAAGCACAGAACCATTAATAAATATGTGCCTATATAAAAACGTGTTTCAAACTGAAGGTACAGCCTGCTTGCCATTCTTACTGGCCACCAAATACAAACTATAGAATCTGAGTCCCCACCGATCCCATAGTAGATCACAAGAGTGTAGGGATTTCCCTGAATTCTTCAAACTTATTCAACATTTGAATGACTTCTTTCAAACCCACTCAACAGTCTTGGGGTCTAAATGAAAATTCACACTGTTACTTTGTTCTTGAAACAGAAAAGAGATTTTGTAACACTGCATCACCTGCTAGTTACTCACCTCACCCAGTTTGTAGTTTCTGCTAACCTTATAGTACTGACAGGGCTCTACCTAGGAAATGCACTATCATCCCTGTAAAAAACACATGGCTTTCCAAGCAGCTCAGCTGCACTAGCCACCATCATATCTCAGTATTCTTCTGAAAAGGTTAAATGGCTTTCAGCTCATGAACACCAGAATTTCTGAGAAATAATTTCATTCCAGTTTTATCTTTTTAACTTGTTAATCTACTGAGGAGAAACGTGAAATAATAATTTCCCACCACAGAATATTTCTATGAAGAAATAACAAATAAATAACATTGTAATGAGTGACAACACAAAACTACTAAGGAACAAAAAATAAAGTCACTCTAGATATTTTAATATTTAAAGCTATATATATTTTTTGGAATTTTTTATATTTGATTTTAAAACTTGAAATACTCTTTTAACTAACTTTTTAAGTAGGCGGTATTAAATGTTAAACCAAGATCACATCGTTTATTCAGGTTCTGGAAACATTTGCACATCTCCAAAACAAATTCACGTAGAGCTTTGTTCATGATGATAACTGTGAGAGCTGGTTTATTTTTATAGACTGTTGCTAAAGCACTGGTGGACTAAAAATAAGTTCTGTCAAACAATGATACTGTATTGTCAAAATCTATAACAAACAAATACTTTTCATAGATCATCCAAATCAGGGGAGTGAAAATGAACCGTTATTTTTGAGAAATAATAAGTGAAGACTTGATATAGATAAAGATTCAGAGACATCTAGAGCTGTTAAGACACTGGCCAGGAGTGAGGAGGCATGAATGTTCTAACGACCTTAGTTTCTAATGATATATAGTATGCATGTAAGGTTCGCTAGTCTACAGTTTTCTAGATTGGCTGTGGAAGGCTTTTTCTCATTTGTAATCTATGAGAGACCGCGCGCCCTCCATGGAGGTTGCCTCTCTTTCAACTCGAGGGCCTTTCTGAATTCTCTCACTTCACTTGCTCTGCTCTTCTGAAGCTCAGTGTCCATGTGCTAAGTGTTACTAATCTGGCTGTTCTTAGGATATCAAACACAAGTCGTCAGTGATGTCTACTGAACAGTCTTTACTTGTGTCTTGAGTTAGTTCTCACTTGTTATTTAACACTACTGACACAAACACACCTTCTTGAGCTTTTCTTCAGCAAGACCAGTATGACATCTATTTAAGTTTTCCATAAATGGCTGCCATAAATGAGAATGTTCTCATGGTACAGCTGCACCAGGTTACAGGCGAGCACCTGCTATCTGGCATCTTAGCTGTACTAGTTCTTTCCTTAATCTCAACTATCAATTGTTGAGGAATTCAGCTTTCCTCCCTTGATCTGAGGACTGATATTGCAGCCTACTGGTGTATTTTTATGCCCTTCTTTGTATTCATTTATGTTGGTCTTGTGTCCTCCCTACTCAGAATTTCCAAACTTCTAGGTATTATGGAACTTCTCGGACACACCACCACTCCACAGAGTCTCAATTGCATGGGGCTTTTTTAACAGTACGTAAAGCCACAGCATCTTTGTCTTCTCATTCCATTACATTCCTGTATTTTTTCAAAATTCCTTTTCTTTGAAGGAAAAGAATCCTGTATTTTTTTTTTTCCTGAAACACTGCACTGATTTAAACGCATGCATAGGTTGTTTTCATTTAACACCCTTACCTAGCACTGTGTTGGTTTTCCTTTGTGTTCTTATTTTCTGTAACTTGTATCCTATTCTTTACTGGACACAGGGATATCTTTTGCACACATCTTCCAAAAATGCCCAAATGTTCAAGTTTGTGTATTTCTTGTCTACTAATTTTTTTTTTCCACAGACCCTATTTTGGCAAGGAAAAAAACTCACACTTATTCCCATTGTATGCTAGCATTGCCAAATGACTTTTGGAGACAGAACACCGTCCTGTATGTGTAGATGCTCCACTTTCCCCAAAAGAATCCACAGTGACCAAAAAACTTAAGTCTACCTTTCAGACATGATGAAACACTGAATTATCTTTGTCCAGTCTGGAGCTCCAGGCTGGAAGGAATATTTCTGAGAAATACTACTGAACTTAATTAAACTTTTTATTTGGAAATGATCCCAGGATCTTTTAACTCCACCCCTTAAGTCAAAGGAAACAAATCCTCAATGATCAAATTCCAGTTGAGTCAAAGTGATGACTATAATCTTGACTACACATTCACCTGTAGGACCCCAGTTACCTTCTCCTACACGCTTGTGTTCATTTACTGGAAATGAAGAATCTCTCAGGCATTCGCTCCTGCTGCTTGCACAGGCAAGAACAGTTCAACAAATCCCTCTGTTGGTTACAAGGTAAAGCCAGCAGGTGAGTCTAATGCAAGTGCACAACCCACCAGTGTGTACCAACACGTAACACCACTGCTTACAAGTCATCCACCAGAACAGTGAATGTGTTCAATTATGAAAGAAAATAACTAAACAAGCAAACAACAGCCCTCAGTAAATCAAAACCCACACTCAGGATTGGAGAACAGAAGAACAAGACATCTGAAGACCACGCTGTATCCTCAAATTATATGGAAGCACATTAAGTTTTTCCCATTGTTTCTAACTGACCTAGTACAGAAATGGCATAGAAAGAGAGTTACATATGGCAACAGACCACTGAACATGCAAATATATCTTTGAACTATTTCAAATTCATCCTCAACTATAAGCGGTGATGAGAGCAAAATGTCAGTCAAGGAAGAGTTATATTTACGGAATACTCATAAGTCACTTGGTGACCATGGAAGCCCGTGGCTTTTCAAATACAGCTTTACTAACGCAGAAAGTGCATCATAATGGATTTTGTACAGCGTGTGAGTTTGCTCAAGTCCTTACAGTTCAATTGAGATGTGTCTGTTTCTCAGCTGTTCCTCATCATGTTACCAGCTGCACAAAGCATTTGTGGGCATTTCACAGCCATGGTCCACTAAACCCTTGTAGCCATTGTTTTTTTTAACTCCTTTGAAAAGGAACAGAATTGAAACTCACTGGGTGCTAGTGCTCTGTATACTAGTAGTAGAGGCACATCTGCAGCTGAAGCTGCAATGAAGATGAATGAATTGATATTATTCATTAAAACGCAAGAAAAAAAAAAAAGTGATGTTACTATATATAACATGCTGTTTATCAAGAGATTAGACAGATTCCCACTGTACAGAGCCCTGTAACATGTGATGAGCATCACCTGCTAATGTTGTTAAAAGGCACTTAAAGGCATCCACAAGATAGGACAGACATCCTGAAGGGAAAATCTTCCCGTGCCTTGCAGTCACTAGTTCAAGGCAGAAAGCACCATTGTAGGAAATTCAGAAACACAAATAAGCACTTGAATATATTTTACCTCCATAAAAAGCCCAGTTCCTTTAAATTAAGTAGCTTTTCAGAATTGAAGTTGTTATAAATCCCATATGGAAGGCCATTTTTAATTTATTTTTTTTAAGAAGATCTTAAGAGTAAGATCTTATTTTGGCAGCAGCAAAGGTCATAGGCAAGCCTTGGAAAAACTGCCTCAGCTAAGACTCCCCAGCACTTCCTACTATAACACCATCTCTTCAGCTCTTAAAACTTTACCAAGCTACAACTGTTTAGACTGAATTTTTCCACACTGGACTTCAGCCAATTTTGAGAGACATTTTTCAGACTTAAGTTTTTTAGCCTCTTCCGATAAAGAAACTAGGGAAAAAACACTGCTCTTTACAGATTAATGAATTCTGCTGACCTTTCCAACAGCTTGAGAGCACTAACTCTTCAGAAGCAGGGGGTCACTGCACACATTTTTTCTTTTTTTTTGCCAACACTGGAAAAATCCTCCTGAACTTGGCCAAGTGTTTGTACATACTGCTAATTTATGTATGCAGAAGAGATTTCAATTTAAGCAACTTGATCACTCGTCCAAACACTGTACAGGAGACAGGGAAGCATTAAGTGACTAGAAGCAAATTGAAAGACATGCAAATGAAGAGCCAACATGACAGCAGAACCACATGGGCATAGAAGAGGGGTAAAGGGACTAAATAGCAAAGGCTGTCTGGTAAGGTGAAGGAGTGGGGAAGCAACAGCAGGAGTTTCATCTAGGAGAAAATGCAGGGGGCAGCAAGCCAAGTCTGCACATTCCTCTCAAGAACTGGAATGAAACCCAACATTGCTGTCTAGCAGACAAATGGTGAGACCTGCTATCTGCAGAACTAGAAGTAATACACCCTATTTCCCTGTGGGCCTCAGAGAAGATAACTATGTAGTTATCTTCCCTGCTAAAATAAAAATCTTAACTCAAACTACAGAAGTCTGTTGGATTGGAAGTTATCCATCCAGATAAAGAGCAACATCTGCTTTTTTCC